TCTTTTTTCCTTTGACGCCTTTCCTGTTTAGTGGCCTTCCGGCCTTCTGCAGTGTTGCGGAAGCATGAGTAAGTCCTCCGAAGACGGTCAGCGGGAGCGAATGGATGTGAAAGGGACCTCGAACAGTGATGAATGGGGGCGCTTATTATTAATGAGGCGTGGCCTCCGAGCATGACGTGGTCGTTGCGGAGAGTTGCACATGCTCAAAATGCAGCAGATTCAGATTTGCGACCTTGGAGCCGCCGTTGAGGCCAGATGTGGGCTGCTGTGCGCATGGTGGGCGGGAGGAGGTGGCGTGATCGCTGTGCGTAGAAAGTGACCGCCTCGTTGGGGTCGCGAGCCAAGGAGAGTCACCGGCGCCAGGCAGGATGCAGCTTTATGTAAGAGGCTGCTGAGGAAAGGCAGCTGCTCATCCTAGGGAGGTATAGTGGTTATACTAAAACCATCGACCGTGAATGTAAGATGAAATTAATTTAAAAAAATATTCGGCTTCGATGGTTGATTATTTCGTGTTATGGGATGCGTCAACACTTAGTACACTGCGGGCTACACTTACGGGCATGTTATTGGTTCTATAAGTGTAAGTTTTTATTTTTGATGGTGTTCTCGAGCTGAATGGTGAAATCCGGTGCCGACCTTCTCATCGGCTTGCGAGGTTTTCGCCAACAAGGTATCTCCCAACAGCGGTGCACTGTCCCACCCGGGACAACATCTAAGACTCCAACGGGTCTCCCGATATGTGTGGTAGGGTAGTGCGTGAGACTGTATGTGTATGTAAGGGAAGATAATATGACAAAGAAGAGGAAAAAACAAGATACCAACCCAAACCAATTCGGAAATGGAAGGAATACTATTCCATACCAATTCAAACCGGCATGGAGAGCCGAAATGTCGCGTTTTCGAGCGAAAGGTTGCCGTTTCGAATAGTACTTCATAACCTTGTATATTCGCACCTTTAATGTGTGCTGTGTCACGAAGCGCCGTACGTTCTCCTCAGGCCAAGAAGCTCGCTGAAGTATGCGCCTAATGTATGGTTCGAAGTTCAACTCATGGGAATGCTAATGAGGCACCAGCGGAGAAAAAGTCTTTGAATATACTGCATCCTTTCCTTTAGAAAGGTGTGGTATTATTGAACAAAAAAATAATAATACCGATTAAAAGCAACACACTAGAAATTACGAGAGTGTAATAAAGAGAACGTTTATTTCAATTTTTATCGTTATTTTATTACTCATGAAGTTTTTTAACGCAGTGGAGAAGATAAGTTCTTTTCTTACTGAGCTTTCCGATCTTTAGTACAATTCAAATTGGATCTTCTCTCTTATTTTTTCTTGTAGGAAATGCTGTTCGAGTGTTTTCTGAACTACATATTCTCTGAATACATATGAGATTGGAAAACACTCGAAAGACGGAAAAGAAAGGTATTTCTACCACATTTAATCTTTATTATATTATTGAATAACGCATTAATTACTGTAGTACCTACAGCTACACTATAACACTTACACGGAGAACAAAATAGGACTGGACTTCACGACGTGCTCAGTTGCTGATGACAAAAATCTCCTTTTTCACTATACTTGTATTTTATTATCACCAGCGAATGTTTATCGGATGCAATATCATTAGTAAACAGTCGGTCTTTTCACATCGAATATTTTGATGTGCGGAGTGAGGTATCTAGAGCAGAAGAAACTTTGTTTGTTCAAAACCAAAATTGTCTTTTCATTCGCTTATCCAAAATGAGTATAAACAGTTGTTAATTGATTGACAAAATACGTCATTTTCGAGATTGGTATATAAAATTATCAATGTCGCATTCTAATCGCACATAATCTCGAATTTAGGCAGTTCACTTCAATTAATAAAATTAACTCAAGTAGGTAACCATTACTTACTAAAATTTAACTTTTTAGTTTTTTATCGTTGTTTGAGGCCTTGTGTCACTAATGGAAATGACATATAATGTACGATGAAAAAATTTTACGCTGGGATACTTGCAGGATATAACAGCCTTTCTCGCCAAAACCATGAGGTAAAAATGTCTTTCCATTATGCGGATTCCGAACCTTCAACCTTTCAATTTAGGAAGTGGTTGTTGCACGGAGCGAGCTGTAGGTCAACAACAGCAAAAAGTCGCATTGCAACGAAATAACGGAAATAATACGCATTGAGTCAACACTTTCTAGAGGGGAAAAATAAAGGATAGATGTCGAAGAAAGGAAAAATGACAAAAGTCGAAGTAGTAAGCGGTACCTAGCACCTCACTGAGAGAAACGTTATGGCATCGCTGCCCAGGTGCATTCTTGAAGGCCCACACCCTGCTTTGGTCGCCTGCGGCGCCGTGCGTCTCGCTCCGTGCATCCTTCGCTGAAGCCAGCCGCGGGGGGCTTGCCATCGGCCTCCGAGAAGAGCCGGCACAGGTGTCCAGAGCGATGGCCCTATTACGCGAACGGCGGAGGCTGTTGAGACGATGACCGCCACTGCTCGTCCCGCGCCCGCTATACCTCCCCCTCCGAAACACACTACGCAAAGCCGTTGTCATTCAGTTGTGGCAACCGCGGTTACGATGGAAA